AAATAAAAGGTATAAACTATAAAAGAAAAATTAATAAATTTGACTTGTTAAAAATTAAAAGCTTTTGCTCTTTAAAAGACATTAAGAAAATGAAAAGTCCAGCCACAGATTGAAAGTGGTTTCACTACATATATCTGACAAAGTACTCATATCTAGAATAAATATAAAATTCTTACAACTCAATAATAGTTACAGCCTAGTTAAAACATGGACAAAAGATTTGATCAGATATGTAAAATACCTATTTTAGAAAACATTCTGGCAGGTTCTTAAAGAGTTAAGACTTCATCTTCCACATGATTCAGCAGTCCCACTCTTAAAAAATGTGAGCATATGTTCACATGAAAACTTGAACAAGATTGTTTACAGTAGCTTTCTTCGTAATATCCCCAAACTACAAACAACTCAAAAGTCCATCAGCAGGTGAACAGATAGACAAATCATCGTGTCTATATAATGGAATGCTACTTAGCAATAAAAAAAATGAACCAACAATATGGATAAATCTTTAAACAATGATACTGAGCAATAGAAGTGATAGAAAGCACAAATTAATCTATTGTGAAAAGGTAATCAGAGGTTTCCTAGGGATGTGTCTCTTCTCCACAGAGGAAAGAGACCGGGATAGATTACAAAGGAGGCCAAGGAAACTTGTGTGTGTGATGGATATGTTCATTATTTTGATTGTGGTGATAGTTTTAGGAGTATATAATAAATCAAAACTCATCAAATTGCACACTTTAAATATGTGCAGTTCATTTTACATCACATAATAAAACTGCTGAGAGAAAAATATATTTTAATGTTTTTAAACTTCTTATAAAGGTTTGTAAATGTTTCTTTAAAAAATTCAACATTATTTTTGAAATTTGCTCATGTCGATGTATTTACATATCATTCATACATTTTCACAGTGAATTTATCCATTTTTGTGTTGATGAGTGTTTATATTTCTCACTTTACAAAGAATGCTGATGTTAATATTCCTGTATATCTCTCTGTGCACATATCTGTGAGGGTTTCCAAAGTACACTCCCAGGGTAGAGTTATTGGGTCATAGCTATGCACATCTGCAACTTCACTATCTCCCCACACTGTTCTTTCAGGCTCATTCAGTTTTATACTCCCAGTAGCAGTGTATGTAATTTAACCTTGTTTTGTTCTTTCCAATATCATGGGTCTAAAGTAGTAAAATTTTTTTTAATTTGCATTTCTTTCATTATTAGAAAAGTTGGGCACGTCCTTGAAAGTGTTAATCATTTGGATTTCCCCTTCTGGATATTGCCTAAAATTTGGTGGGAGAAATAATGGAGGAACCATCTGAATTTTCTCTCAAATGTAGCTAGTTATTCTAACATCATTTGCTGAAAAATTATCCTTTTCCACTGGTTTGAAGTGTGATCCTTAACATGTACGTATTTCTCCCATGTGCTTTTTTTTTTTTCTTGGAGTTTTAGTTCTGCTCTAGAAATAAATCCAAGTAACTATGGGTATTCAGTAAATTACCTGATCTGCTTGTCCTTTCCTGAGTTGGTAATTTACTCTTTTAACTTCTGTAACTCTAGATCGGGGGTCGGGAAACTGCAGCTCGCAAGTCACGTGTGGCTCTTTGGGTACGTACAGGTGACTCTGAAGTAAAATTGAAAATGAAAATAAAACTATCATGGTTTCATTTATAAAATTTTTAAAGGATATTATTCACATAATGGTGATTTCATTTGTTTTATAGGTCTCGCAAAACTTTGAGGGACAGGATTGGCTCTTCTGTCTCAAAAATTTGACGACCCCTGTTCTAGATGATGTCAATGAGAGGGGAAAACCTTTTTCCTCTACTCTCTTAGGTTCAGTAACTGGGTCCTTGCAAATTAAATTGACAAAAGACAAGTTAACAGTAGAAAAAGGTTCATTTCATATGTATAAAGGCAGGCATCACAGAAATGATGTGAAAACCCTGAAGAGGCAGTTGGACATGGAGGCTTATATACCATTTTAACAAAGGCAAACACATTTGTGAAGAAATGACAAGACAAAAGAAAAGGGTTTTAAGCATCTAATTCTCCTGTTTATGAATTTTAAAATTAATTTATAAATTTAAAAAATCTTATTGGGATATTCAAAATAATTTTATTAAAGTATAAGTTATTGGGATTTTAATTGGGAGTACATTGTATTGATTAATTAATTCTGAGAAAATTGATAACCTTTATAATATTTTATCTTTCTACCCAATTATTTGTCTTTCCTGTACCTTGGTAGCTTCATACTTTTCCTAATACAGATCTGGTATATTCTTGTTAAGTTTTGCCAAAATATATATTTTAAAACTTGTGTTGTGAATATATTTTTCTTCAATTATGTATTCTAACCAGCAATAGTTTGTAGCTAGAACAACCATTCATTTTTGTACATTGATTTAGTAATTGGATGTATTTCTGAATTTTCTTGTTAGTAATTTTTAAATAGCTTTTATTAAATTTTCCCTTTGTATATTCATCATCAGATAATAATTTTGTATTGTTTCAGTTATTATATGTATTTCATTCCCTTACCAGTGGCAGAGAGATTAATTACAGTTGACCCTTGAACACCACAAAGGTTAAGCCTCCCC